GAATGTCAGGAAATCTCTGATTTGATATGACCCAGGTGACTTCTTTCATCAAGTGATGTACAGGGACTGGCCATGATATATTATTATAATGCCTCATGCTGATTTCTGTGTGTGATGAATGAATATCTGTAAACAGCTAGTGAGAAATGTCCGAGTATTGAAGACCACAAAAGGAAGTCACCTTTGCTTTCTGCAATGTGCATAACCCTTACATGTAATTATTTCTTGCATTGGTCTCTGTGGACAGCCATGAGGTATCATCTTGCCTAGCCAACTAAGTGGAATGAGAGACAAAGAATATCACCCTGCACAAAGACCACTACCCCCCTGAAAGTGGGAGAAATAAATCTTTGTCTTCAGAAGATACCGCTTGGAAGATTTCTATTCTTTGGTATAATTCAACAATGCCAGCATATACCACAGGGGACAGAGTTTCTGCCTGAAAGCTGTTCACTAAGTCTGCAGGATGTGGGAAACCAAAAAATGTGTGGGGCTTTTTTGCCACAAACCACAGCTGTAAAGAAAACTCTATTCTGTACTAGATATAAAGGTCCTTATCCCTAAGTGTATTTTCCATTAAATCATAGGCCAGTACTGGAAAAGGCCCAGCTGCTTGGTTGAATTCCTTCAGACCATCTCTGTCATCTTCCCTATGCAACCTAGCTCTAGATAAGGATGTTCTAAAAGCAGCCGACTAACTGAGGTCTGTAATCTTTGAAATTAGTCTTTCCTGGAAACACAGTGACATCCAAAGTACTGTACCATATTCTTTCTGAAATTATGGGCATAAGAGGCATCTCAAATGCATTACTGTCATGTAGAGAAGTAAGAGAATGGCAACCATTAATCAGCAGTTGTCATTTGCTGTATTTCTTGTTGATGTATCTGAGTTAATTTCTAAGATAATCTATTTCCCGATGAGTAAAACTCTCATCTCTTCCATGTTGACTTGTTGCATGATAAAGGATCTTGCATTTGCACAGAGTATCTGAAACCTCTCTTCAAAAGGGGACAAAAGAAACTGAGCTTAATTGTTTCCATCTGTCATCTGAGCTGCATCAAAAATGAACCAGGGCTTAAATGACTTTCCTGTATACAAAAGAAAATATTGGTAAAGCAGAGACCTGAAAGAGTCCAGGTGTTCTTTTACTAAGCATCATAGTATGCATGTTAGTTATTAATTTTATGCAGCTTTTGACCAATATATTCTAGTAATTTTGAATGTTAAAAAAAAGTTAATAGGTGTTATTTTTAAAGAATCAGAAGGCATGTTTTCGTCTTTGCACTGTATCCAAATTGCTGCTAACTCTAAACCACAATTAATGTAGGTTATAGGCAGCCCATACAACCATCTATTATTTTGCACTACCACAAATCAGTACAGTTTTGCAAGTGTGTAGATATCACACTGTTGGCTTCATATGTATTGAAAACTGTATTTTCTTGATTTCATTGCCTTTCAATCACCTATTAAGAGAAAACAACAGTACTAAAGCATTGATGTTTTGTGTGCCACTAGAAACACTTGTAGTGGGGTAAGAAACCTTTTCTCCACAATGGAGCTGGCCCTAGAGCTGCATCTTACTCACCCTGTGGTACTGAACCTGCTATGCATTGGACCCTGGACCGTATTGAATATGTCTGCCCATATGACATTGCAATGGATCTTCTCCTGTCATGAGATGGCTGTAGTGATTCCATTTACACAGTAGTCTGAACCTAGAGTCCTCCTGTGTTTCTGCTCTGATGAGGACGCTCTAGTTGTAGGAATAGAAAGCTTCAGAGCAGCACAGAAAGGTTAAGAAAAGGACCTGTGAACTGAGAGAGTGGAAATTCGGTAGCTACAACACAGAGAAACGTGAGACATCACAGGACAGAGCAGAACAGAGCGAGAGGAGTGAACAGGTATGTTTATCTTTTCTATATTTTATTACTTTTGGACACAGTCCATCTTGTTTAGTGTGTGTATTGATGCCTGTTGGTTATGGAGTGGTGAAACACAAAGCAGCATATCCCAGTTCACACAGTGGTTAACAGGGATGTGCTACTGCTTTTTGTTAGTCCAGTGAGATAGCTAGAGACCATCCAACCCAAAGGCCAGGGAACAAAGACCCATTTAGTCTGCAAAGACTATTCTTTCCTGAAATATCCATGTATATTCCTGTACTTGCTGAAGCAGTGTTCCTTGCGGAGCTCTACAAGGCACTACAGCCTGAAAAAAAAAGGTGATCAAGTTCAGGTCTGGACTTCTTGCATGCTATAGGAGTATGCTACAGAGAAGCAGGGACTACACAGATGGTGGTTTGATCATCTATGCAGGATCTGCCTTATGGCAGTGCAGAATAGGGCTTTTTCACTCTTTCTAACCATTGATCTTTTGTTAGAGAGACAAAGTGTGCTGCCATTGTTTTCATCAGCTTTTGTTTGTTCCTGCAAACAACAAAAGGGAACTGTTGGGAGCTGTATTCAGTGTTGGCCATGATGATCCCACTTTTTCTTTCCCATTGTCTTCCTCAATTTGCCAGCTAGCAACAGAGCATATAGAGAACTGCCTTCTGCTTTCTCATGTGTCCTGAAAAGTTTTGGTAAGCCTGTGCCCATTCATTCTGTTATTAACCCCACATAAATAGTTTAGTTTAGTTTGTTGCTGAATTATAGCTAAAACAGCTTGAGAAAGGCTATTTTAGTTGTAAGAAAATTAATTCATATCCTGTCTCACAAATCTAATTCTTAAATGTTGCTAGGGAAACAGGAGGCTGGAGAGGGAAGCAGTAACTGAAATGTGTCTGTTTGACTTCAAGATTACTGTACCCATGAGGTTACCTGTGTCCTTACTGGCTGGACACCCCAAGACTCTACTCCTTTGATTTTCCATTGCCATTTTGCCTCCTTTCCAAGGAGACAAATGGCTTGGTCCTTCTGTTCCCTCTCGCTGTCACTGAGGAGCGGTAGTGAACAAGGGCTACTAAAACAGACCACCTCAAGGGGCTTGCCAGGGTTAATCTGTGGGTGGTTCAGACATACTCCAAGTGCCACGTAGGACTGTGATCTGTGCAAGTGTTCTAGCTCAGCCCTTTGTAGCTCCCCCTCCTTGTTTGTTTTTCTTTTCCCCCTTTACTAGCGAGAAAGCCCTTCAATTGGATGGGCAGCAGAGCCAGACCAGGGCTCTGGAGGAACAACGACCAAAGAACAGACTGCAGCTTGTAAACTAAAACCTCCCCAGGGGCTGCTGCTAAAAGATTAGAGAGAATTCCTATGCCAATTGGCATCTGGATTCCTCCCCCCGCCCCCACCACTGCAGTCACTAAATTTCTGGCCTGTCTATCAGTATGGCCGTGTAGTCATAATGCATTTATTTGCTCCCTTTGGGCAGGCAGGGGGCAAGCAAGGGTACCCGAGAGCTGTACAGGGCACAGCAATACAGTAGTGCTGCAGGACTGATCAGACCTGCACCTTTCATCATCACACCAATGAGAAGAGGTCAAGGAGCCCCAGAGTGATGAAAGGGATAAAGCTAAGCGTTGGGGAGTGCCTCTATCAGAGCATGTGTGCCCCAGCCAAAATGTCACACAGGTTGTCAGGCTCCCTCCACTGATTCCCCTTGCTAACCTCTAGCCAGCTGGCGATGGCGCAGCAAGGGTTGTTTATAGTTTATTAAGATGTTTGGCATTACACGCTAGGGCAACCTCACGTGATGTATATGGAAGTAGCTGCTATTGTGAAGGGCTTGATGGAAGAGCTGAATTCTGAGCTCACCACGGAGTGCCCTGGCCACAAGCGATTAACCAGCTAGGTGTCATTTTACACTCAGTTGCTGGGGACGAGGAACTGGGAGGGGACACGGAGGAAACTCTGAGGTCTGTAGAACATGACTTTAAGTAGTTGTGGTTTGGAGAGACAGAGAGGCAGCCTCGAGTCTCATGTGGTGGTCAAACACTGGAGATTTGTACCTTTGGGAGCATCCATGTCTGAAAAAGCCCATACTTTCAGTACATTGATTTTTTGCCTGGGCAATATCTGTGAGCTTTTTATGAGCATCTGCAATGTTCATGGTAAACTCAGAGGAGGAGTGTGTTACTTACCCATGCATACAAGTCAGTACACTGGTAGACCATATATATTCAAATGGACATAGGATATTTGTCAGCTGTGTCAAGTGCACCTCCCTGGTTATTTAAACAGTATTGTTGGAAGTGTTTTATATTTGAATATGTAAATATATAAATCCCATGGCAGGGGAGTTGGAACTAGATGCTCTTTAAGGTCCTTTTCAACACAAACCATCCTATGGTTCTATGATTCTGTCAAAAGCAGATGTACATGTCTGAAGGACTAGGGTGGGACAGGGGACATATACACCAGGCATGGTTTGAGGGTACCAAGGAATTTCCATTCTGAGGGTCTCTGGCTGACCTAAATTCTGCCTGTTCCTTTGAAGAGACATGCTGGAAAGGGGGAAAGATTTTAGACTGACTGAGTATGCCACAGCAGTAGCAATTTAAAGACAGCAAACCATCTAACCCTCCAACAAACAACTTGCTTGTGAAAAAACAAACATCTCCCCCCAAATATTTATTTTTTACAATGTTTTTGAGATTACTATTTTTTAAGTCTTGGCAGGTAAGGCCTGGGCCATGTTCAGGTCATCGTGCAGAACAGGTGCAGAACACCCCAAAACACCTCACAAACCACAATAGACAAGAGGTCCTCAGAGTGCATCAGATCACAAATGCATGAGCCAGTATTCAGGTACCCCCAGATATTGCTCCTGCCCTGACCCAGAAACCATCTTTCAGAAACTCCAAGAAGGAAAAAGAGCTGAATTAAAATATCAGTGCCTCTGAAAATGGACTCAGCACCCTCTTTCCTTGTATTTGCCCACCCTCAGCAGGCTGGCTGGGAGCCTTGCAGTTTGCATTTAGAAACTGATAGCCAGGATCTGCCAACTGAACTTACAGGTTTGGCAGACACAGAGTTTAATTTGCAGGACTCCTGGATCACAGCTCTGAGGAACAAAAGTCTAAGTGTATCTCTGAGCATTTCTTCTCTCAGCAAATTCCCTTGGTGCATTTTCTTTGTCTAAAGAAACTTTCAGGGTTTCCTCCTACAGGGGAAACCTGTAATTCTTCAGGCCAGCGGGGAGGGTTGAGGTCCTAAGATAGCTAAAGCTAGAATAGAAAACATCTCCCCATTTCCATTCCCTCTTTCACCTGCTCTTTCTCATTCCCTTGCTTTCCCAGCCCAACCACCCAGCATTCAAATACACAGAAGTCCTCCACCCTGTCCTTCTCTTCTGCACCAACTGTCCAGCTATTATGGAGAGTGTGGCCTTTGTGCCACCAAAGTAACTCCCAGAAGAAACGTGACACTGACAACAAGACCAAGAAATGTTCCAGAAGAGATCCCCAAGGGCTGCCAGACCCTAAGCCACAGGGTTTGGCATTCGGCCCTCAGCATGCATAGTCTCTGACACCCAGTTCCTTTTGTCTTAGCCTGGGAGCAGGAGAGTGGGTGCTGACAGTTTCTCTCTTGGCTTTGGGCGGGCCAGGGTGCTTTTCAGCTGCACTTGCAGGATTTCACCACCATGTTGGAGAGCTGCTCCACTTTGGGGGTCCTCCCGACATAGTACAAGATAGTGAGTGGCTCCAGGTCCTGGGGCACACAGCAGGGCGAAGCAGATGCCTCAGGGTTCAGCGTGTTGTATAAGCCCAGCACCTGCAGAAAGAAAGAAAATCTGGTGACAAAGTCACGAACACGTTTAAGTTAGTTGAGGACAGGAAGGGACTGCAAACCCAACAGGTCTCCAGGTGTTTAGACTATGCTCATCAGAGGGTAATTCCCTGAGGTAACAGTCCCCTGTCACTTCCTTATCATGGCCTACTTCTAAAGGATCTCACCTGCCCTGGCCTGACTTTTTATTAATTGTAGTAGCCTTGCTCTGTGGCTGATGCTTAAGGGTGGAAGGAGTGCAGGCAGTGGTCTTCTTTCGTCTCTACGTACGGTGGATAGTGTCACAATTTTTACTTTTAACAAGGCTGTGTGTAACCAGCCTGGGGCCATGGTGTCTTTGGTTCCATTAAAGAAACCAAAAGAAAGAACATCAGTGCTGCTTATTTCAATCAACATCTCTAGATAGCACTGGATCGATGCCAATCCTCTCAAGTATCCTCCCAGCTTTGAACTGTCTGATGCTTTCTCCCTCCACTCCATCCTCCAAGTCATTACACTGCAATGCTGGAGCCAGGAGAGTGTCCTGTGGGACCCCACTGGATTCCTCCTCCTGGCTGGCCCCAGCCCACAGATGACTGTACACTTCAGACATGTAACTGCTATAGAACAGTTGCCATGTTTCTTGCCAGAGGTGGCCGCTTCTCAGCGGTAAGCAACTTCTTGAGTTGTGGGGCCAAAATATGACCTCACCTGCCTTACTGTGGTCTCATTAGTGCTTATCTGGTATAAACAACAGGGTCTGGCACATTGTCTTTTAACTATTTTACAGTCTTTGGGGATAAGAGGTGCTAAGAAAACATCTTGTTCTATCATCCAGATCCATGTAATCACAGTCGTTCTGGGAGAAGCTCTCTAGGATACTGAGCAAAGTACCCTTGGCTGTACCACAGGGGTACCATGTGCTCTGGGGCTGCTCTACTCAACAGAGACAGTAGGTTAAACAGGTGGGTGAGAAATCTTTTCACCATCTTTTTCCTAGGGGTGCTGTCAAGCTGTTAGCAGCTATATTGTTCTAAAAGTTTTCTGGATCACTCAGCTGATCTTAACACTTGATTGTTTCCTTTCTTGAAGACTCAAGATCGTTTCCTTTCTTTTCCTCAAGAAAAAAACATTAGGAACTATTCTGAAATCTCCTTTCTCTCACACTGATTCAGTCCAGTTATCTACTAGAGAGCTTCTCAGGACAACCAGATGGTAAAGCTACATGGCCATTACCCTTTCAAAGCTGTTCATTCCCTTGCCTTGTCTTGTGGTTAATGCCCAGCATCTGTTCACTCCTTCATTCCCATAGATCAACTGTTCCTACTGACATTAGTCCTTGAGCTTCAGTGAGCCTTGCTGCTGTGCAGACTCTCAAGCTGTCAAGAAAGTGTTAGCATCTTTTCTGCAATATCATCTTTACCTAGTTATCTATTCTTCAGCCAAATCTGCTTTTTCCAATAACTTTTTTAGTGAAACCTGAAGTTAAGTTGCTAGTGAGCTGTTGCATTGTCTGGATTGCTGCCTTTTCTCTTCTGTGGACAGAAGCCCAGGATTCTCCTCTGGCTTTTCTTGCTTCACTGAAGGACTGCCTACTCCTCTAGGACAGTTTGTCTTCTCCCATTGGTACTTCTCCCATGCCCATGCTTTTCTATTGCTTGTATTTTCTTCCACTCTAGACAGTAGCCAGGCTCACGTGGTATTCTTCCCAAAGACTGACTGGTGTACTCATGTTAAGCAGAGGCTATGCATAAGTTACCTAAAGACATTTGCTTTCTGTGAGTTTTCACTTGTCAATCTCACTGCCTAGTAGGTTCCTCCCTGATGTAGGTCAGGTGGGATTAATACAACTGGAAAGGATGCCTGTGCAGAAGGGAGTGTTTACTGCAGAACTGTGTTCACTTCTGGACATGGACAAGGATTTCCCTTCACTTTTGGGCTACAGTTGCCCCTGTGGCAGCAGATGGCAGCTGTGTGCCATGGCACAATAGTTTTTGCATGACAACCTGGCAGAGGGCATAAAAAAATCCTCTGTCTGATGCAAAATGCAGGAGAAATTTAGACAGAAGATAATTACCAGAGTTTATGTTTGATGTGAACAATTCAGTTAATACTCTGGCCATTACCAAACAAGTACCCTAAAACCATCACTCCTGCTGTTTCACATCTTATGCAAGAGACAGCAGCATCCTCCTCCTCAACATTTGGCTGGAAGCATGGGCTCACTATTGACTCCAAAGGAAGCACGTTTTTCCTGCTTAACCACCTAGACGACTCTTCAGTTTCCTTGGACAGTTTTTACAAGTATTGATCTGAACTGCTTTTGCTGCTTTGAAGAGACCAGATGTGATCAGACTTAGGGAGAAAGGGGGAATCACAGCCACAAGCCCTGACAGGATAATATACTGGATGTACCGTGCTGTGAGTGGTGTCTGCGCTGCGGAGGTACGGACAAGGGCCTGAACAAAAGTTAGCAAAGTAGCCCTTAGGCTCGTGGACCCATTTCCAGCCAAGGTCCTGTCGGAAGTCGATGTACAGAGGACGCACGCAGCAGTTCTCCTCCAGGTTCCTGAAATACAGTATCAAAACACAGTGAATCGAAAGACGGACCTTACATGCAAGTGCGTGATGCAGCTTCCTGAGCAGAAGGACTAGCGCCAGCAGTGCCCAGTGGGATGTGGTGTTTTGCCTGCGCCAAGTGCAGAGGAGCGGCAGGGGCACGCAGCGGCGGGCAGCTGAGCAGTCTGGCGTTGTTTCTGCCTGCCTGCCGGCAGGCAGCTCCACCACTGGCCCAGCGAAGGCAGCACCTCACTCACCCACAGCAGGACCCGGTCCTCTCCAGCACCTGAAGCTAGCGGGGGCTGCTGCAGGTCCCTGCCCAGGCTGTGCTCCAGGAAGCTGCTTGGAAATCTCCCTCTAGCGAGTGGCTCAGCCAGAAGCACACAGTGACTGTGCTGAGCAGGCTAGCGTGCCCTTCTTGGACACCACAAGGAGCGGCCAGCTGAGCTGTGCTCCTCACGTGGCCCCTGTGGCACCATGGTGACCCACAACCCCCTTGGAGGGCTCTGCCTTTTCTGGTGGCATGGAGTCTTACCAGACTTCCCCACCTCAGGCATTGGACCTGGTCACTCCAGACAGGATTCTCACTTACCGGAAACAGTAGTTGGTATCCAGGGCCCGTTTCTTTCTCTGGCCTCCTAATGCTGGGCTCTCTAGCCGATGTGGGGGTAACATCATCAAGATGAGGTGGGGATTATGCAAGTCTTTCTGCTTCTTCAGGCGCCCCAAGTCCCCACGGCCATAGTCATCCTCACTGTCAATGCCTTCAGAGAAAAACAGGACCCACAAACAAGTCAGTGTGGAAGTAGAGGATGCATCAAGACTTTTCAGTGCATTTAACACTCTCATGCCTGCCCTTGAACCAGGCTGAAAGGGAGTCAGGCACCACGTCCCCTTACTCTGGGACTTCTTCCCTCACAGGGACCCCTTTACTCCTGGTGAATTTGACTGCTGCAGACCTGAAATAGAAGCTTATGGGCCACCTGTTTTACCATTTGCAAACTGCTGGTGGGGCCATTAATCCATCCCACTCACTCCTGGCTTCGGTCCCAGGACAGGCAGGAAGATGAATGGTTTACAGAAGATGTCAGATCATTGGCACTCTGCAGAACAGCCTCAGAAATGGAGCCTGTGGGGGCAGTGGCCGCAGCCCAGGGCTGCAAGCCAGGAGGTTCCTATTTCTTAGGCTAGCCAAGCCACTGACTCTCTGGGCCACCTCACACAGGATGCCTGACTTCCTTGTGTTTCAGTCACCCTAACTGGAAAGCAGAGCCTCTATGGAAATCTGAGAAGGCATCAAGTTGAACTTCCCAGAGAGACATTGAAATACAAAATTATTCCTTTCTGCAGATGCTTGTGCAAACCCACCCAGCCTGCACTTCCTTTCTCCCATTTCCAACCTATGTACAAAGTGGATATACCCATATAATCAACATGCAAACCCAGATTTTGTATGCTTTAAGACAAATGTTACGCAACATAAAATGGTCAAATACGCAAAGCAAGACCTCATTTTTCTTTTCTTTAGATACTCCAGGGTTTCCTTTGCCCAACAGCCTCCCCTAACCCAGCTCTTTATCACCTTTGAATTTGATCTCCAAGACCTCATGCAAATTCTCCAAGATGTCCCCGTTGGGCTGAAAAGTATGGCAAGGACAGTGTATGCTAATTTCCAGGCCAAGGTTGGACTCTGTAAGGAAGCACATGACTCTGTGAGAAACAGTCTTCCTCAGCTGGGACAGTTTCTGGTGCGGGGAAGTTTCGCTGAGGACATGTACTGTGGTAACTCCGAGACTGTGGACTGGTCTCAAAGTCAGCAACACTATCAAAGTTGGGGAACAGAAGCTGCCTTGGAAAGGAGACTGGGAAGCAGAATCTTGCAGCTTCACCTGTGCCAAAAGCCTTGCTCTTGCTAAAGGGAGCATCCTAGGCAGGTGAGAAGAGTGCTTCTGGTTACAGTTTTTAAGCTATTCAGCATCCAGAAGTATTTGTGAGCTTCAAGAAGTATTTTGAAGAGCTGGCTTGCAGTGTCTGTGTTAAATCAATTTTGCCATCTTCAGTGCCTGTCTACTATCTAGCTTCTGGTTAGTGTCCAAAGGAGAGATCTGAAATTAAGTGAGTTGGATGTTATCAAGTAATTTCACTGGAAGCATTTTTCTCAGCAGCTCCAACCTCCTGTTTTGTTTAACTGCTAGCGGTCTAAGTCACACAGACTTTCCAGAGGCAAGTGTATTTTCATAATAACTTCCTGGACCAGTCATGCTGTGTGGGCCTGACTAAGGGAACATAAGACTTTTATGAAAGCTCCTTTTTTATGTTGTGTCATGAATTAAAACATCTGGCTCCCTGGGGCATTGACAAGGTGCCCAGCACCTTTTCTCCTAAGCACTGTACAGTCTGTGATGTCTTGTCAGCTAGTGTGCTTGCCCAGAGCTCACTGCAGTTCCAGCCCTGAACTCCAGCCATCAGGACACAATTTAGACTGCTTGAAAAAGGAGGAGCCTACAAGCTCACTGCTTACCCTTCCAGGGAGCAGCTGCTTGCCAGTACCTGCATTCCATTTTTCAGTGGCACCTAGCTTCTATCTGAGAGGCCAATCCAGCTGTGAGTCACGGTGCCTATGCTCCCGCTGTGAATGAGGTCAGTGTTCTTGCTGGGAGCTGCCCCGTAACTATCTGCTGGGCTGCCCAGCGGTGGCAGAGGTATGTTCTCTGCAGTGCTAAAGCCTCCATCTGTCTAGGTGTGTCAGCCTCTGGCATTTCCTCACCTTTATACCTGCCAAGCTGTAAACAGCTAAAGAAACCAGGATCCTTGCTGTTTTTTTTCACCCGTACTAGATTTGCTCTAGTCCACATAAAATTACACCAGAGCAATCCTCATGTTCTATGTATTACCGATTATAGTTTAGACAAGCAGAAGGATCCCCTCTGGGCTTAGAATCAAAGAACAAAAACAAGTTCCAGTATCTCTCAGTGAAAACAATTTCATCTTCCAGAGGAAGAATTCTCATTCTGACTCAGCCCACAGAGCTCCACAGTGGGGACTCCAGGACAGAGCTAGAAATCTAGCAAATATCATGCACTGAGGTAGCTTTCTAGGGGAAGGCTTGTTCTCAGACTGAAAGAAGCTGTTCTCTATGTGAGCCAAGCTCCTGCAAAAAGGGGACCAGAGAGATACTCCTGTCAACATTGATCTACACCTCTATCGATGCAGACACCCGGTCCTGCTTAGACCCCTACCTCTGTGCAGAAGCCACTCACGCACAGTCTCGGTGACATCGAAGGACAGCCACTCAGGGGAGCCCCGTGTCTGCACATTCCTGCCACTGAGGTAGCGCTGCTTTGCTATGTGCTCATCCGGCCGAAGGATCTGTGTCAGAAGGAGTGGTACAGAGAATCAGCCAGTGCCGTGCATCAGGAAAGGATAGCCTTGGGTCTTTTTTCTTCCACAGCTTGCTAAAAAGTAATTCAAGAAAGTTGGTCCTGGCAAATGAGACACCAGGAATAACCTGGCACAGGTGAGATGGACATGCTTCACAACCAACCTGAACCCCAGAGATCTACACAACACTTACTTTGGTGTCCTAAGCAGCCTATCTCTCTCAGTTCATCCTTGTTTCAGGGCACATAGCCAGAGTCAGAGCTACACAGCAATTGATCTAGTGGGTGGTTTTGTTTCTGTATACGCCTGTGGGACGTGGGTCTGGATTTCAGAGTAGAACCAGCAGTGGGCAATAGAGCATCTTGCTACAGGTCCCTTGCCCAGCAAGCCTATTAAGTCCTACACTGTGGCATTTGCATGTCTTCTACACTCTTCAATGTCTTTCAAAACACACCAGGGTTGATCAGGTTTGGAGACCCCTCCCCCTGCTCTGGGATCTCTTCCCGCTTCCAGACAAACAGTCACAGCCTGTGCAAGGTGCTCCTTCCTGCAGGACCCCAGGTTCACTCCACAGAGCACTGAACCTATGGAGAATCTCTGGAATTGTCTCCTTGTCAGTTGTGTTGGTGGAGAATTGGTCTGACCTTTGAAGCTGAATTTCAGGAAGTTCTCAAGAGCTACAAGCCACAGGGCAATTTTAGCTGCCCTCCTACTGCAAAGTGGACAGACACCAGCCTGTGGGAATGTGCCACCTGGATGCTAAACTGTACTGTTAGCTGGGTGGTCCAGCCCAGCCTAAGACCACCTCCAAACCTGAACCAGACCTTATTTTTCCAGTGGAGTCCATGGCTTCAAATCAAACTCCAGATAAGTACCTGAATTAACGGTGCTGTGAATTATGCCCCTGGGGAGCTGCTGCTGAAGGGAACACTGAAAGCAAGCATTATTTTTTCCAGTAAATCAGCGACAAGACAGAGAGTCCCACCCGTTGGATTAGCACCAACTGTACTGCGACAGTCAAAGGAACAAAACTGCCAAGGGACCTAGGCATGCAGATGTGACAGGAGGGTATAGGCTGCTCCACTGGTGAGGGGTTCCCCTTCCAATCCCCTTCTCAGTGCAGCAAAGAGCTGCAGCAAAGAGCTGCAGTGGACACCATGCCAGGGTGGTCAGAACAGCCAGCCAGAGTGAGTGGGGAAAGGACAGCACCACACTGTAAAAGAAAAGAAAGGTGACTGTATCACTGCATATGCTACAAGAAGCCTGGGGTACAGCATGGGATTTGTTTTCTCTCTCTTCTGTAGCCATGCACATATCAATTGCGGCAACCATTGAAAAGCCAAGCTATTTGGGGCTCAGGCACAGGAGAAGGTGAGAAGGGTACTCACCTGGAAGAGCTCAATGCGTTGCTCGCTGCGTTTGGAGCTCGGGTTGGGCACACGCAGCACCCGAAACTCGGCCCGGAACAAGTTGGTGCTGTTCTTCTCTGCCGAGGACACATTAAAGCGGAACACATTGGAGGTGACACCTTTTGGACAAATGCCCAACTCATCTAGGAGAAAGAAAAATGGAAAGACTGAGAACCACACGTCAGAGGGGTAGGATCTCAAATAAATATTGTTTGAGAAAGAGGTCTTCAGCACAGGCCTGTCATTCAAACATCTTGCCACCTGTGAAGCAGGGCTGTCTAGCTAAAGATAACACAGGATGAATTAACTCAAATTTGGTCTACAGTGCAACATTTTGCAAAACCTTCCCACTGCTCCTACCATTATTTCAGTGCTGCAAGCCAAAGAATCCGTAGAGATCAACCACAGTATTTTTAATATTTTCTCTTCTAATCCTGCTCATCAAATGTTGCTAATGTTCATGAGTCTGCTGCATACAAAGTGACAACCCCAGACAAGGCAATGGGGCAACCTCATTTGCAGCTAGTGGGGCCCATTCCCAATAGCAATGGTGGTGTGACTCTGCTCATACTAGATCACGTGAAGGTGATCCCATTGCTGCTGAATCTTAGTTTTACAAATCTTGACATTGTCTCCTAGAATGAAAGCCAGACAAATGTCCAGAAAGCATGAGGTGTGGAAGACTTTTTGGGGCAGTGACCATTCAGTATGTACTGAAAGAACTGGGTTTTTTAAGATCAGTTCTCACTCATGACCTGGAAAAGGAATTAATGAATAATACAGAGTTCTTCAAGGACAGAGTAACAGTGCTGAGAGGCCTGCAGAGATCAGACATGTGGGTAGGAAATAACACAGCAATTCCCTGCCTTGATGTGTGCCTACTGAGCAGAAAATCCATTTCACAGATGGCCCAAAAGAGAGCAGGTAAAAGCTATGAGGTCCCAAACAGAGTTCTCAAGAGAAAACAAGCCTGTCTTCATTTGGCCCATTTTGGTCTCATGGAAAAGTCTTTGTCATCGCTGGTGTTCCCCTTCTATTGACCTCTGTTAGCCTTCAAGGCTCTAGCATCATTAAGGCTTCCTGCAGACACGTCACAGCAGCTCCTGCTCTACGCCCACATGCTGGTTTGTTTGCAGCCCACAGAGCCTCTCCTATGACCTCCGACTGTTCAGTGCAACATGGGGCTCTCACGTCAGATGAAATTTGTTTTTAAACAAAACAGAAACAAAAACTATCACCTGTTCCCAGCCACAGTTCTAGCTTGTGACAAATAGGCTAGAAGTCCTACTTGAAGCAACCTTCAAGTTAGATTCCTGGAGTCAGCCTCTCTCTTCACACCACCACCACTCTGTACCCAGGGAAACAGCTTCTGAAGATGGACTACTGGGAATCAGCGCCTGAGGACAGAGGTTCACCTCCCATGCCAAATGCTGCTTTGAGCAACACTGATGCACTTCTAGAGTCATCTCCATGAAGATGAAGGTCTTCCTCTTGTGCCACAGCCAGATTCAGCAAGCAGGAACCTGCCAGTTTACAAGGATTCTTAGGGTGCCGAAGTTTTACTCAGTAAGCTAATGACCACATTCTTAACACTGGACTTTAATTGGAGGGGTTTTTGCTACTGAATGGAACAGCTTTCCTGTACAGAAAATAAAGTCTCTGGCTGCTACTGAAGATATGAACGTTTGGTAATCCTAGGAGACCAGACCCCACTGCAGCCATCAGCTGGTACGCTCAGCCCAGCAACCCTGCAGTGCAGAGTACACTGAGCCCCAGAAGGACACCCGCTGCGGGGACACCACCACTGTGACTAGTTCTAGGTTTTATACCACAGAAAAGCACAGCAGAAAACCCAAGTTCTGATCTCATTAATATGCCCAAAGGCATCTTCCCGGCTGAAGTCTAACACTGGTAAGTGTTCTGTGTCCTGGACCTAGGCAGATACTGTGTTTTAATACCCCCCTTAAGCTGTTCTGCACTCCTAGCCCTGTTTAATAGTGCTGTTAACAGCCTGCCCTTCCATTTCAGACCTGACTGCCTGGCCATGAGGGGTGTCCCAGTAATCATCAGGAACGCCATTCTAGATTGGACCAGTGGTCAGTGCAGCCCGGTATCTGTTTCCAACAGCAGTGATTTGTCTGACAATCTATTCAGAGACTGCAGATCTGGTCCTACAGTACAGTACAGATGAGAGACAAAAAAATTTATTGTTTATCATCTCCTTAAGATTTTTGGCTAAGTTAGGCAGCCATGGTGGTAAGAAATTGCTTTATCTACTGTACTTCACCTGCTGTCCCCACACTGGCTTCCACCTACTTATTTCACCAGCAAGGTGCTCATGTTGTGGGAGATGTTCCTAGTGGAAATTAGTAATGGCTATCTTCCCCCGCCTAAGAAGTTTCATGTTCCCAGGATATGAAAGGAACAAGCTCTCTGTGATGGGGACAGAGAGCTATATTCTGTATTTCACTCTGAATGCTGCGAGTTTGGAGCCTGCTTCTCATAGCAGGGTGTCCAGGATACAGGTCTCACTCCCAGGAAGCTGACTGTTTTGGGGCAAAGTACTTTTTGCAAGAGGTCACAGGCAAAGGAGGCGAGGTGATTTTTCAGGGAACTTGGTCCAGTCCCAGCTCAGGTGTGTTAATCACACTGGAATCCAGACATGTCCACTTACCAGTACAGAACAAAGACTGGAGACAAGATTCCTGCAAGCTCTTCCAGTCCGTAACACTCAGTGGCTGTAACTGAGCCTGGAGACAGGGAATCTGTGACACCTTGTGCACCCATGGCAGTCTCTGTCTGACACGACAGGATGTATCCTCACAATTAGACCCTGCTGTTACTGTGGAGCCCAGATAACCCAGAGCTGTCAACTGCAGAAACAATGAGGCCAGTAGCCTCTTAGCATGGACAATGGGATACAGGGAACAGATTCTTTTGGGAGCTTCCTTCTTCCTACCACTGCTCTCAGTGAAATGCAGGTTCTCCATGTGCTGCCAGTCCTACACAGCTGCTGTTTCTGGCAAGCCCCCAGGATGATGGCTGTGTGGTTAGAGTTTGATGTCAAGGAAGGGCAGGCTGTCTGTGAGCACGTATTGCCTCACTCCATATTACACCACTGGTACTTCAAGGTGTTTCATGCCAAAGCTGTATAACTTTGGAGAAAAAAAATGATGCTTCTGGAACTCTGCAGGCAGCAGGTTTGGAGGGAAGAGATACTTGGCCCCAGTGACCCATGGCTTTAATTGCCTTGTGTCTCAAGCTGGCTTGGAAAATAGCATGCATTTTTCCTCAGGAAGGTAAGCAAAGCCATCTGCAGGACCATTGCAGATGCCCTCTGAGCTTGAATCTAACCAAGTCAGTGCTTAAAGGGGTCTGAACCCCTGTGAGTTTTAGGAGATTCCTGAAGTGAATGGCTGGTCAAGAGCAAGTTATTCTCTGAAATAAAGTCCTTTATAATTCAGGCAATGTGCTGAGAGGCACAACAGAAAGACCATTCTGTGAGTCACCAGACAGCTCAGAGTAGGGATGGGGAACCTGATCCTGAATATCTTTCCTTCCTAGAAGGATGGGGCTCTCCCCACTGCTATTTTAGCTCCTCAGCTCTCCTCATTTTTGGGCCTTAAGTCTTTGAGATGGACGAGTTCTCTGAACCAACGAGACACTTCACTAATAGTTTGGAGCTAGAAGAGTTCATGTGCGTGAGTGTGCATACACACACATTTCAGACTTGTCTGTATCATCCTTGCAGTTCCCTCAATGGAGCAGTCCTCCCCTTCCCCCCTGGTGGAGACTGGCTTTGGCTCAGAGCGTGCTCTGAGATCACCACCTGGCACAGTGACAGAGTCATGGGAAAGTTGAACATCAGCCACTTCTGAAGACACGGGGCGAGATTCAGCCATGGTGTAAGCAACGAAACTCCCCAGGTTTCAAAAGGAGAGCATTTCTTGACACCACGGCCTGTCTGGAGCCAGTCTCTCCCAGTGTGATCCAATTTGAAAGTTCCCTCTTTCTCTGGGTGGTGGCATTTACACTGCCCACTCCCAGGAATTCAGTCTCAGCACTACTCAGTCTGAGCTTACTGCTCAACACCTGGCCCCAGTGTCCTATGAGGACAGGCTCATTCATTTCCATAGGCATTTTCCCCAGCCCACAGTCCCTCCTCACTGCTCCTTCTTATGCATGTGTCTTCATTCCTCTTTCCCCTCTACTTTGTCCAAATCCACTCCTCTGATTTAATTTCCCACTGTTGTGCTTTCCCAGTTTCTTTCCTCAAAACACACTAGCTCATAGTGTGGCTGTATTATTTTGCACAGACACTTGTTTCTCCATATATTTTTAGAATTTCACAAGTGACACTTCAGTAGGTCAAAAATGTTGAAATATGGATAAGCTGCTCTACCCCATGCACTTTCTGTTCCTCGAGTCTTGGTGTCTCCTGAGCTAAGAGCTAATCATATAACCATCTGGAGTACAGTCTGCTAGAGATTAAGTGAAATTTGTTGCATTACCACATTGTAGCTCTTACTCCAGCTCATCATATGTCAAGATTAACATAAACGTGGCAGAGTAACTGCAGTCTGAGGCTGCCTGCACCAAGTCACAGCTCCTCCCCAGAACTGCTGGCATTCAAATTGTGTCCCCAAGACTGCACTACATCACAGGAGGACACCCTGGGTGGTGGTATGACTGCATGCTCACCATCATCTTCCAATCCTAAGGAATCCTAAGCACAGACTGAAAGGATTGCTTATGCCTACATGTGCTCAGCATCTGCCATTTGCTTGGGGTTCATGTCTGCTCAGTTTCTGTCTTTGCATCTGCATCTGCTCAGCTTCTGCACCTGAATCTGTTTAGTGTCTGCATCTGGGCCTGTTCATCATCTGCTCTGCACCTGCACAACATCTGTCACATTTCCTCAATGCCTGTGTTCCCTTGGGGGTCTCCTTTGCATCACTGTCTGCACCTGCTCAACATCCCCGTTATCTTCTACTTGCTCTCTCATCCCTCACACTATCCAAGTGACACCTTAGACAGTGTCCTCCAAGCAGCAGTCTCTTCAGCAAGTGCCTCTCCACCTTCTCGACAGCCAGTGCAGGTGCTGCACAGAGAGAAGGGGTTGCCGGTATCTCTGCGGCAGGTGCTGGAGCTTCATTTTTTTTTAGCTACCTGCTCCTCACCTACACACCAGACCTGCGCCTTCTCCCAGCCCGGCGTGCAGCATCCACCTAAGACCCAAGCTGCCTCCTGCTGCCTCCCCACCTCACGCCTACCCCCTTTCCCCGCCTT